CTGGCGAGGAGCGCACTAACGACTGATTTGTTCATAGAACCCCGTCAGCCATCCATCCCCTCGCGGTGCGTCGCCGCTTGAGATTCGGGGTAACTTTTAATAGAGGTTTTCTCCCTCGCGGTCCGGGCGGTTAAGCCAAGACCCTCGGTCCCTATCAAAGCCGCGAGACATGATCCACTACACTTCGATACTGGGATTACGAGACCGGCGGTGACAGCAAAGGATGAATCCTTCACTGTCTGCCCGGAGGCAGGGTAAGTGCACACCGAGCCCGCCCTCACTCCTCTGCTATGCCCTCTGCTGATCAGAGGGTCTTGCAGTGGAACGCACCGTTGGTCCGGGACGGACCCCACCCATGTCAGAATAATTAGCCGCGGCAGTACCATTCCCCAAGGAGTAAGAATTTCTTCTCATTTCTCGAGGAAGCCGCGCCTAGGGTGCACCGGCCCAGTATCTGCTCTTCCCTCCAGGCGTATCGAGAGGGACCCGCAACTACCAGGCACACGTGGAGGACTTCTGACTTCGCACCCCCTGTAAATCAGATTTCGCATGAACATAAAACTGAGATAACAAATCCAGTAATAACTTCATCAGGCATGATTGTTTTACGAATTTACTTGATGAGGAATCATAAGGGAAGACCATTTTAAAACGCTGTCCCTTTAACTCTGGTTTCATTACTAAGGGACATGCCATTTTAGTAAACTTATGTTCGTGATCTTTTAAACTGATTGTTAATGCCATTACCAAATCAAATAATTGTCTATCTAAGCGTTTATTTTGTGCAATAATTTTTACTACATTACACCATCCCACTATATTCAAGTTTGGATGTTCTGGATTAAAATACAAAAGTTGCATTGAATTGAACTCACGGTTAACATATGCGGCATTACCAATACTCGTGATAAAACGTCTCTTTGACGTACACATATTTACGTACGCATACATGCTCGCCGGTTAAGGGTACTCAACAAAGTATAGTTTATATAATAATAATTCGTCATAGGAGTAATAACACATTTGGTCCCTCTTCCCGCCAAGTCTTCTCGAAAAAATCATGATGCCAGGACACAGAGAAATCATTTATCTATTTGATTACACACAGTGATCATAATGACGCAATGACTAGTAACAAACTGTTATCCTATCTTCATCACTGCTTGTAATACGATCTACAACGATTATCAGGTCGTTCCAAGTCAACTAACAGTAGTATCTACGAGACCAAGGCATCAGAAGTTCATCGCTCCTGAATAACTCACAAGTAAATCGCAGTTACGACTACGCAGCAATTCGTCCAATGCGACCAAATAGTAATATCAAGGAGTACGAACACTTGGAAACACTTCTGGCAACTTCTTCAATACTTAATTCTACTTCATCTAGATCAATTGAAAGGAAACTTTTCATCACAAAATAAAATGTCCAAGAGCCATAACGTCGTAATATCGTTCATAATCGTTCGTTACGTAACACATGTATACTAAACTTCATTTTATTTTTACGAGAACTCATTTTTATGTATCCCCGTTACATTTCAAGGAAGACTGAACTAGACCACACGCTTACCGCACCCACTCTTTGAGCTGCGTCTGCGGTATAGCTGTTGACATAGTCAAAACACAAAATAAAATGAACTAAACAACTCTACAATTTAACAGAGTCATTAATTACCCAAAAAGACTCAGGTCATTTTTATTAAAATAAGCTTGGCTTACGACACATCTTCTCGTCAGGTATACCTCAAAACCTGAAAACGAGATTGTACAACCAATGCGTGTTGCCAGTGATGACTTATAGATCTAAGATATCGTCCTTCATTGCTGGCCATATGAGGACGCTCAACGTCGCAGGGTACTTCCCGTGAACTCAGAATCTTAAAATTTGGTACTAAGCAATGTATTATAGCATCATATAATAAAAATATTTTTTTAATAATTTTAAACTTATATACCTACGGATTTGTTCGGAACCCTCGGTGCGCGCGTCCGACTCGCACTTGGCCGGTTTTATTTTTAAGTAACGTAAGTATAAAAGAGAGACAGAATACAATAGAACTAAAAAAAACACATATTATATAACTTTTTTTAATGTAATATTAAATATTATTCTTAAATTAAAATGTGTTAAATAACGACCTTTAGCCCATTACTGGAAACAAGCTTCCGCTTTTTTGAGATGGTAATGGAGCAAGATACGGACGTCCGTCCCGTATCTCTAATGTAAATTGGCTGATATCACACATTTGCTCTAAAATTTTATAAGGTTTGATTTTGATACTCTTCTTAATCGGGATAGGGAAATTTCTACCACTTGACATAAATTTGAGTAGAACATAATATTGATGATCTAAAAGACAAAAGTGCTTGGTGCCTAATTTCAAGTTTCGGACAATTTAAAACCAAATGTATTAAAAATACAAATTTATTGAACTGTTCACACCATTTGCACTCATCGTCACTCCATCTAATGGAGTGTCGATCTACACTTCCTTTCCCGGTACAATGTTGAAACTCGAAAACCTTTCTTCTCCATCTAGCAATAATATATTTTACAAAATGTAACAACTAACCTTAAATCATTAATTTTCTACTATCAAGATTTTTTTTTATTATGAAATACTAGTAATGCTATTAAACATTACTACTATTCCCTTTAACCACTTCTGGTAAGCTTAAAATGCTTGTGTAAGAAGTGATTCACGACAGTAGAGACCCTTTTTACTGGCAAAGAGGCATTCCATCTTAGTCCTCACGGGTGAACACGCATCTGCATCTTGAGTCTTTATTGAGAATAGATGTAGATGTCTATGGGTCACAGTAACCACTTACCATCAGGTAGACTGTGTACTCGTTTGTCACCCTAACCTATAAAAAAAAACAGTAGTCGAACGGCGGATTCGAACCCACGACCTTTCGTGGTCCGCGCCCTGCCAATTAGGCTACTGACGCTTAAAGATTAACACAAAAGTCTATATTATTTTATTCTTTCCATATTATTATTCTTATAATAATGTTTCTTTTATAATGGAAACAAACTTACAGTGGACACTTGCAGACAACTTCAAACTAAGAAGGCGCTGTGGCGTTGTCACCTCTGAGGACTAAGATGTAATGATTTAGAGGCTTTAATTATACTGGCACTCGCAATTCGCATTCGCAAACATGTATTTATCATAAACATAATATTTAATAGTACGATGTCTCGACACTTAGTCCGCACATTTGTTATTAAATATAAATACAGAGTATTTGTTACTATCTACTCTACATTTATTAATCATGACAGGGTTGCCATTTAATATGAGAGGTATCAAAGAGAGGTGTAGAAGGTCGCATCCACATTTTATCATCTTGGTATATCATGTCTTCGTGCAACGTGGTGGTCGATAGTTTGGAAGCAAAATTATACTAGCCTTCTGTTTTGATACCAAATCGTTCCGTTTAGCACAAAACCTCGTATTGGATACACGTATCCCCATCAGAGTAGTAAGGACATATTTCGATACTGTATCACGATACCACGACGTGATAGGCCACGTTCCATCACCTGTCGGTATGTCCCGATCATCAAGGAGATGTTACATTCCACTATATACGGTCTTGAAAAATTTAACGTCGGAGGAAAATTTATAGTGACCGGAAATAAAAAAAAAACTATGCTTGGCATTGGCATGGTACATACGATATGGATAAATGTAGACGCGCTTTTTGAAACAGTATGGCTAGTGATACGATATCGCCAAAATGGGAATCCACACTTAAGATACAATTACTCGATACGATACGCAAGAGCATTATGCATTAAGATCATTAAATGTCGACACGACCTTACTTGTTCTGGGTCTTTAATTAGACTCTCCCTTACTCTCTCCAATTAACATTAATTATGTATGACGTATGGGATACACAGTAAATTGCTTAACTGTTCGAAATAATTGCAGTTAAGTAACAATGAAGTAATAATAATTTCAGTTCAATTTATTGTACTTCAACAATATTACAACTCTGAAAATTTTGGTGAAATACATGCAACGAAATTTGCATATTATGATTTGGTATGAATAAATATTTACTCTACTCTGTTCACTTAAATCAGTAGCTTTTCCCTAAAGTATAATTTTCAGACTGCAATTTTATTTTTTCTCTACTAACTTCCAATTTCGAAGTTGTAACTTTCTGATGTTTAAAATTTTGACATATCTCAATGTTGGAGGTCGCAATATGTGTGTGTGTGTGTGTGTGTGTGTGTGTGTGTGTGTGTGTGTGTGTGTGTGTGTGCGTACGTTCTTTCGCTCGTGAACTATTTTCGTCCCGCTTATTAAAAAGTGATTAATTTTATTTAATGAGTTTTATAACTATTAGGTCTTTACCTATGAAATTGCATTCTTTTATAAGTTTACGCAATTTTTTCTATATTTTTATTTCTATTAAACAAAGTAGTCACCCATGCAATCGATGTATCTTTGCCAACGCAGTGGTAGTTTATTGATGCCCTTCTTGAAGAAATCAGCTGAACGGGAAGCAATAAATTTTTAAAGACGTATTTTATATATTTTTTTAATATAAGAGGGGGCAAACGGGCATGCGGCTCACCTGATGATACGTGACTACCGCCGCCCATGAACTACTGCAACACCAGGAGAATTGTAGATGAATTGCCGGTCTTTTAAAAAGTGTGGGCTCTTTACTTGAAGGTCCCTAAGTCGTATCGGTCCTAGAAATCCCTGGTGACAGTCGATTCCACAAGGAAGTTGTGCCAGGAAGAAACTTCTTGTAAATCGTACAGTTGCAGACCTCCAATCATCCACATGATATGGATGGTATCGAGAGTTTTGTCGCGATGTGCGATGGTGAAACTGAGCGGCTGGAATTAGTCCGAATAAATTATCTGAGCACTCCCCGTGGTAGATGCGATTTTCCAACAAATATTTTATTCTTCTTGTGTTCTATTATTCTAAAGAATATTGTAGTCATTACGTATATTATTTGTTGCAGTCTTCAAATCCCAGACATCGTTATCAACGGATTCTGGACTTTGCACTGAGCGAGGTCTGAGGCGAACGCATATCGAGCTCATCAAACCCCCTGGGAAAAGAATTGGACTAAAACTGGCAGGTAAAGTTATTAAATTTATTATTGCTCTTCTTTTTAATTTTATGATATCACCATTCCAAGAGAAAAACAAAACAGTTTAAATTGTAAAACGGTCAGTATTCGGAAAGACGTTTATTACTTATTAATTAAATGTCTGCGAGAGCGATTCCAATGTTGTTGCATCAATTTTCCATTCGATATCTTTTTGCAAGTTCGAGTGTTTTCGAAGTAAAACTTTTAAACTAAAACTCTTCATACACGACTTGTGGGTAACTTTTATGCTCTCACTCACTGACTCCGGAGCTTTTTTGAAGCAAAAATAACGCTCTTTCCCCATTACACACAACGACTGAATATAGAAATTAGTAAGTATTATAAAATGTGTAGAGTATGATATGTAGAGTATTATATTAAGTATATACAATTTTCATTTATAATATGTTAAACTTGGTAATACGTGATAGGGCCACGTCGCAATGTATTAAGATGGTAGCACGAATGAGCGAGCCGACCCGGGATAGGATCACGCTCTCAAAGAATACCAGCGTAAAATAGCAGCTCAATGCTGCTGTGTTTCGTATGATGAGTGTAGAGAACGAGGCATTCCATCTCAGTCCTCAGGGGTGACAACGCTTCTGTATTTTGATTCTTAATTGAGGATAAATGTATATGTTTATGGGCCACAACATCCACTTCCTATCAGGTCGACTGTATGCTCGTCAACCTTTTTCAATATAATAAAAAACCTTAAATTTATTTCAAGCCTATTTTTATATGTATTAGTTTTAAAAATAATAGTCAATAAAATTTATTATATAATAAGATAAAAGCTATTATTTTATTGTAAACTATTTTTATTATTATTAAAAATATGAATATTTATTAATATCATTACGTTTAAATTCAACCGCGCGTAAGGGTAACACTCACTCATTTTTAACACGCTTTTAATAGTTTCGCGTGGATCTACTCGTATCTATTTATGTAACGGAATATTTTAATGTAGTAATTACCAGCTTGTAGACGGCAAACTCACTTGAATATTTTGCACCGATGACAAAACAATAATTTAATAACTTTATCCTAGTATCCTAATCAGGATCATCAGGATAAAATAAAATTATTGTCGGAATCATTAATTAAACTCTTATAAAATAATTGCTGTATAATAATTGTTTGCGTATAGAATTTTCATATCACTGTAAAAATTTAAAGTAACTTGTTCAAAGTCCATCTATTTATTTATAAATATATGTTGTCAAAAAAGCACCGCTTAATATTGGAAATTGAAGAGCGGAGGGAAAAAAATTAGCAATCACAATTCAACATTTTTTCATAAACGTTGTAGAACAGAAATAAATAAAAATTTTGCTTGGCACCAAAAAGTAGAAATCATCTTTCAAGTTGATTCAGTTACAATCTCACTAAGCTTTATAAGAAAAACAAATTTAGATTTTCAAACGAAATGCACAAACATAAAAGAAAACAATGTTTATTTTCAAAATGGTTCAATTCGTTTAACACTTGGACACGTAATTTGAAATGTATATAAACCATTTAATTAAAATATTCTGTAAAAAGTAAAACTTCGAAATCGTGGATAGGTGGATAGATACGTGGATAGGTGGATAGATTTTCCCCCACATAAAACATGGACTAGAGACCAGTTTTATTTTTAAATTGTTAATGGTTGATTCGTCCCACAACGGCTTTGAATATGGAACTATTCTACTTAAATAGTTATTCTAGTTTATTGAACAGATATGAGGCAAAATAGTTGTTTATGCCCAAATTTGGTCATGTTGAACGCTATCCAATTGTGTTCGAGCTGTGGCGTCACCCGATAGTATGTAGGTGAAAAAATGCTGCTGGTCGCCCAAGCTAGTCCAGGTCTCAGACATTTACACATCACTAAACACTACTTACCATGCACCTCACACCCACTTACGGCCTGACCGAGCCTTGGAGCGATCTAAGAGTCGGCAAACAGGTACGTACTATATTTCCCTGACCTTCTCCCATATAGCTTAGTTTTATAGGAAATTCTTCCATATAGCCACTCGGGTTCGAACCCGCGGCTGCTCGTTGAATCTTCCGCTCATGGGCCCCGGATATTGAACCTTTGCAGGAGCAGCTGCGGGCCGTAACAATAGTTATTATAGGAGGAGGTAGGAGTTGATATATAACTAAAAAAATCTAAGCAAGATGTTTTTGACCTTAGTTCATTTTATAGCACCACATACAGTTTAATATTTTAAGGTTGCCGCAAAAACGAAAAGACGTCCTTAAACTATGTCATTAAAACAAAATACCAGTTCGACTATTTATAAACCGTTTAATATTTTTGGAAGGAATTTCCTTATCGGACGGTATGAATTTGGCGGATGGGGCATATGCGAGAAAAAGTGTAAGATTTTTCCTTCACGTCCCCTTCTGACGTAGTATAGACAGCCTTGGCGGCTATAAGGAAGCGAGATGGAAAAATTTCCATCTCCCTCGCACTTTTTCTTATCTTTCCATAAAAGAAATATCATTTTATTTTAAATGACGCTTAAATTTAAAACACGCTAGTAATTCATTTATTTGTATTTGTTAATAATGTAATATGTTTATCAATAATAATATACTACGAAAGGAATTTCGTCACTCATGTATGTTTTTTTCTATTTAAGTCATCTTAAGTTAATGAATGAATAGTTTGTAATATAACCTGCTTTTTTCATGCACTTCGTATGTAATATAAAGGATCGTTACGGACAAGGAGACCTCGACGCGCTGGTATGAGTAATAATTTAAAATAAAAAAAATTGTACAACCGACTTTAATTTAAATCATTAAGAATAACTCAAAAACTATTGGTCAAAACTTGATCAAATTTATATGGGACCACCAGCTTTCAAATAAAAAATGAATCATCGAAATCGGTACATCCAGTAAGAAGTTATGAGGTACCACACACAAAAAAAAGCATACATTCGAATTGAGTACCGTCTCCTTTTTTAAGTCGATAGAAAATTTGATCAACAGTTAACAGATTAAGACATTCCAGCAGATTGATCAATTTTTCGTTGAAACATCAACTTAAAATTTTAAATTTACGTAAACACTTTTTTGAACCTTTTATATTATAAAATTATTTTTATTTTTTAATTTCATTTATATAACAATGGTGACAATCGAATTTACAGTCCATATGATGGTAGCTCGATGCTGTGGCTCATAGACACTGCGTCTATCCTCAATTAAGAATCATATATTTAATTACCCACGACTTAGTATTTTTAATAATCTTTTTTATTATTACATCTTAATATTCTTTCTTGGTGTTCATTAAACGAAAGAGTCTAATGCTTGCTTGTTCCGGATAATCTCCGAAACGGCTGGACCGATTTTGACGGGACTTTCATTGGCAGATATCTGATGTCATAACGAGTAACTTAGGCTACTTATATTTTAGAAAAAGAATCGGGGTTCCGAGTAGTAAAATTAAAACCCTAAATTACACGCGGCCGAAGTCGCGCGGAACAGCTACTTTTGAAATAAAACTTAATTATTTAGACAGCATTTTAGAAATTTAAATTTTAATTAATTAGAATATAAGTTTTAGAGGGTATACTGTCGCATATACTCTGTGGATATGACGTCTATTGCAACGCACATAAATCGTTGTGACACCATAAATCCGGCAACCGCGAAATTCTTTCAGCGTCATTTTGAAATTACAGAATAATTTTCGTCGCGGCAAAACTCGTTCCCGTGACGGCGATATATTAAAATTAGTTCCTATTACGTAAATTATAAATTTAAAATTTTAGCGTTACGGTCGAATACCACAACGCTTGTGGAAGTGGAAGTTAATCTCATATAATATTGTATGTTTGGATCAGATAGTAAGTTAAATTCAAAAGAATGTTTTAAATGATTCATCATATTAGTCATGATGATAACGACTTACAAGAGGTAGCGCCTAATCCAATATTTAGTTGAAAGCAACCTGTCTCTAAACTATCACATCTAACAACGGCTACCTCCAGGGTAAAACTAATTTTATTTAAATGTGGAGTATTCGCGTTAAAATAATAAGTCATTATATATATTCTGTTATTATTAATGAATGTTGCTTTAATAGTATTATAAAAAGAGAACATAAATTAATTAGTACTCAAATAATTTGCCGTGTGGCGGTGTAAGAAACTCCATCAATCAGGGACGTTTGGCAGCGTCAAAGACGCGATGCGTTTGATACTTGAAGGATGAACTAAAATATAAATTTAAATTTTTGCCTCCTTTGATAGATAATAGAAGATCGTATTAATTAATTTCCAGACTCCTATCATCAAAGCGTTCTACACAAGGCGGGAATTTCTTTCCCATTCGGGTTAATCTGAGCCGAATTTACATATTTATTGGTTGGATTCGTCGCGTACAGATACGGCGTTGAATCGATAAAAGGAAATTTTTTTAGGGCAATGTGCTTTTGATGTATAAGACCGTGAGTTAGGCAAAGAACTTATAATCAAAATATAATACAAGTGAAGTAAAAATAAATTGATTATCTATATTTAGTAATAAGAAGCTGCAGAGTTGATATTTGATGATGGTTATCGATTTTGAAGAAGGTATAAGCTATATAACATAACGTTAGGATCCATGGGAGCGAAGTAGTAACCATAAACCTTCGTCATATACTCATCATGTGTATGAAACAGGCATGATTAATCAAAATTTGACAAATCGGGATGTAGCTAGTTTGATATAATCAAATCATTATTATTATCAAAAATATATTATTTTATTATTGTTTTTTTTTGTTTATTTTACTCCTCTTGGGTTTCTTCTTTTCATTAAGAATTATAATGTCTGGCCGATTATGGGGGATTGTGACTGGTCTGTTAGGACTGATCTATCCCAATACAGTTGTTTGTTGTTATTTTCCAGCACTGGACTAGGGGAACATTTCCAGTACGGGTTATCACGCTTCAATAGATCATATTTTCGGAGCCAGTGATAGATGGATTATTTTAGCGACATCGTTATGACGATGAGTGTATTCTAATGCAGCAAGAGCCTTGCATGAACCCGTGATGTGTGAATCGTTTCAGGTTTTTGATAGCATCGTCTGCATATGTCGTCTTCGATATTTGTTTTGGCTATTTATTATAGATGATTATTTGTCGGAATTACTTGATCCTATATTTCTAACATAAAACCCTCAGTTTCGGCAAACAAACGCCCCGCAACCAATTAGTCAACGCTACAATATCAACGTGAGGACCTTTAAGCTCGTGGGCAAACCTTCCATGTATTGGCTTCGAGGCCCACTGGTGAAGCTTGGCCTTAAGGTATTCGGCATCAGCAACCGATGGCTCTACTTCTTTAGAATGAAGATAATTCAGTGGAGTATAGCCATTATTCGCTAAGTTAACTGTTTGGTGTAAAGAGACGACTCTTTGTTGAGAAAGTAATTTTGCAAGTTTCTTATTTGCTTGGAAAAACCGCCACAGGTCAACGAGACATCTTCCCCGTTCAGCTATTATATTTTATATAAATATAGATTAGACTAACATAAATAATACATAAATAAATAAAAACCCAACCAGATGGAAGCCCTTGGCAGGTGAGACCAAACGGCCGAGGGTTAGGGGGAAAGGGAAAGAAACCGGCGGACTGGCAAATTTCCGGACCGATGCGACTTAGGGACCTTCAAGAAAAGAGCTTACTCCTTCCAAAAAGGTCGGCAATGCACCTGCGATTCCCCTAATGTTGCAGTTGTTCATAGGTGGCGGTAGTCACTTAACATCAGTTGAGCCGCATGCTCAAAGGAAAAAAAAATACTGTTATATCAGTAATATCTAAGACACAACCAACTTACAAACTTAACGTCTTTATAAATTATTAATGTAGGTAAAATTAAAATTTCACTGCAGGAGTCATGTCAACTTTCTCATATGTTAAAATCATTTTTTTGAAACAAACTCATTAGTCAGTTTCTGTTTTAGAACTTTAAAACAATACCTAACAAATTAAGTTTTCTCTTCAAATCTTTCAACTGAAAAAACAGTTACTTTTCTTTCAAATCTCAGCACCTTACTGCATTATTTAAAGTTTTTATTATAAGACGTTGAACGAAAAATCGTAAAACAAGAGTTTCATTTCATGAGCTCAAACATCCCGTGAATGATTTTATTACAGCGTGTTTTAAATCGTAAAGAACTTTAAAGTGATAGTAACAGATATGTTTATCAAACACCATAGCGGCAGACACGAGTGGGGCGCGTCGAGTACAGATTTAGCGGCGGTTTTCTTTGACGCGGTAATTGCACCGTAAATCTCTCCTAGACGGAATTAACTCGCGCTACCTCAGCGTTATGTTTTAAGAATGAAAGCGAGTGCACAATGGACTTAAAAGCTAGTATAATGCACTTGCCAAAGTATATTCTCATTATCGTTACTTTATATTAATAAAATAAGTAATAGAGTAATGCAGAAAGAAATGCAGGTAAACTCCTGAATGTTTTTGTGTGGTATATATTATACATTATTTGGCATTATATATGTATGTGTGCAATTTTTGTAGTGTCTATACTCTGAGACGAAAAATTATTTAACTTCCTCCAGCTATCTCTTAATCCACCATTCCAGTTTCTTTTACTTCCTTAGCAGGATTAGTTCTTTAATTATTTATAACTTCTAATTTTTTTACACACATTATACATGTTTAAACTATCACGCCTGTCACTCAAAGGGGTAGGCAGAGACTACGGACTTCCGTTTGACACGATCCTGACACACCTCCCTCTCTACACGCTCGTCGGTTAAGCGTACTTTTAATTTGGCCCATTATCAATATATCGCCAATTTGGTCAATAAACTTTCGCCTAGGACGTCCCTTCCCGACTCTGCCTCTGCAGCATAAATTTGCTTTTGTCACTCTTTTCTCGTGCATTCTTTCTACATGACCAAACCAACGAAGCATTCCTTTCTTAATCCTGGTACCAACATCATCTTGCAAACCACACTTTTCTCTTATCACACAATTTCTCACCCTGTCATTCAGATTCAGGTAACGCATCTTCCACGCAATTCCCCTGGTTTGCAGTTGTTCATGGGCGGCGGTAGTCATTTACCATCAGGTGAGCCGCATGCTCGTTTGCTCCCTCTACTGTAAAAAAAAAATCGGCCCTAACATATTCCTCAATGACCGCATTTCTACAGCATTTATTCTACTCTCGTGCTTCTTCTGTCACATCAAACTTTCACTACCATACATTAAAGTAGGGACTAACACAGCATTGTTTACAGCCATACGTGCCTTTTTGGACACATTCTGACTTTCCACAATATAGAGATTATTTAATAAATAAAAATATAAATAATATAATAATTCAATTACCTGTTTATAATAATATCTAATTGAACATAGAATTTAAATGTGAGAGACAAAGGATTTTCATTTATTGTAAAAGTTTGTAAATATTATAGATTAGTATATTTCATTACGAGTGCGGAAAGCCTGTCTTTGCAAAGAGTTCCGACAAATGCCTACCCGAGCCGAGGCGCAGCCGAAGGTGAGGGTTGACAGTCGGAACAAGTTGCAATGACGGTTCCGCACGTGTACTGAACAACTATTTTTAATACAGTTGCAAAAAAATGAAGCAATTTAATAAAAAAATAAAAACACAATAAACTCAACTAACTAATCATTTATTTCTTATAAAAGTTATAATTCATATATACATTGAAATTGGTACAGTTTTTTATACTAACTGAGGAAGTTTTAGGTTGCTTATTTACTGTTTGAGACAAACTATTATTAATTTCGTATGATTGTTCATGTATATTTGTCAAAGGTGTTATACAATGGCGTTTACTAGTTGATGGAATTGGATCTGATGAATTATCATTATCAACGAAGGTAGATGGACGAACAATCTCTTCAGTATTGTCATGTGAAGGAGACGGACTGGACTTTAAATTAATGGATAGTATGATTTTTTTCCCAGTTTCTAGTTTGTTCTTTAATGAATCAGTAATATAGCCTTCTGCAACTTTGTCTGACTTCCAACCTCCTAGTCGCTTTAAGGACTTCAAATTGGCTCTTGAATCTGCCAATAATGTAGCAAAGGTCCTCCTGCAGCTGTGCCCAGTATAATACTCAACATCCGGCAGACCAAGAAACGTAGCTATTTTTTTGGCATATTACCAAATTTGTTTATACCGATTGCTTGAGCTGTACACTTCCCTTGTTGATAATTTTGGAAAAAAACGATCGGTTTTTTCTTTTTGGGACCGCTGATTCATATATTTTTGCACTATTCTAAGAAAATCTCCTTCAACAACAAAGCTTCTCGGTAACTTATTTTTTGTATTCGGAACTTGATTAGTAGCATTTTTCCATGGGCTTCAATATCTTTTAAAGTAATATTGGCTAACTCCTCTCTGGGACAAACTCCAACAACGCCAAAAATTAGCGCAACCTACAAAAATAGGAATTTGATTAATATTTTTTTAAATAATTATATTTAGCCTTTGAGCGAGGAAAGAACCAGCCTTCTTATCACCATCAGCAACGACCAGCCGCGTATGGAGTTCCTTTAGGAACTTTACCACACGTGGACCCCACGGAACGATAGTCTCTACAGTAAATGGCACAAATATGTAGTCATCTCTCATAGTCATTCAGCGGGGAAACGCAGCCGGCGTTCGAGGCACAATACCGCGGGGAGGAGGACTATATGATAATTAAGTTTCTAGTTTTAGTTTTTTTTAAATTATTATAGTTTTTAATATTGTATATAATTTTAATATAATGTCAATATTTAATTTATTTTAATAAATGATTATCTATAACAATATATTGACTGTATTTTGCGATTACGTAAACTGAATACTAAAGAAAAATGTAGGTATTTATTAATAAATTACCTTAGTGGTTAAATAACGAACATCGGGAGCTTCGTTCAAAAACCTTTCAACTTCATTCGATGTTAATATTTTCGACTTTTTAGTTGTAAAACCGTCTGATAGTCGTTTTAAGAAAGCATTTAGTTTTGGGTATTGACTTATATCCACGTTGTTCCTTATTTTCAGCATACTTTTTATAATCGAAAACCTCGACCATAACGTAGAAGGTTTTAATTTTGCTGAGAGTTCGGAGAAGTATGCTAACATAACATTTTCAGAAAAACTATTTGCTTTTTTCTCTTCTCTCCACGCAATAAATTCGTCGTATGTAGATATGTAGCGACTTTTTGACTTTTCCGGTAAAATGTTTTCCGAAGCATTTTGTGCAATTATACTGAGTTCCGGTGGTGTCAATTCAAATAAAATATCGTCGAAATTACTCATTTTGTGCAACAAACAACTAAACTCGCGAAGAACATTTTGGAAAGTGGCGCCAACCGTAAAAGAATATAAGCTGAGATTTTTTTTGTTTTCTTCACTCATTCTGGGTAGGCACAGGGCAAAAAGCATAGATACTCGTATACGTACCTGCAATACGCCACTTTTTGAGCAACTGTATTAAAAAACTACTTTTTTATGTAAAAATCTGCCACAACACGAACAACTAAAGCTAATTAAATCAGTAAAGAGCAAATTATGTTATTACTTTATTTTATTTAATCAAATTACCTCAAAAGTGTCTCCCAAGAGATAGGTCTTAAAATGAACATGAATGAGACAAAGATCATGTGTAAAGCCATATCAAAACTATGCTGATAGCTGTTGGGATAACTATGATATATTTTTGGCGAGTGTTTTCTCTGGATAGCTTAATTATGAAATTTGGATTTGGATGGATTTAGTTTTTTCGTATGATTTATAATCATACTTCTGTACGTCTAATAGTTTTTAAGTTATAGGAGATTGGAGTGTGTGTTGAAAGGGTTCGTATAAATGGATACACACTTCCGGTGCTCCTCCTTTTCGTTTCCGAACTTAGATAACACACTGTTGTGTATTTACATCCAATTTTTTTTGTATCAATCAGTTCTATCAGTCTCGTCTCTATATCACTTTGACAAATATATTACTTTGATAATAAAATTTAAGCAATACTAAACGCGCCAACCCCTTCCACGAACCACAATTATCATTAAAAGGCCAGCATAGCTTCATGCACGGTCGCTTATCTGTACCCTTTACATTAAATTTCTTCAAAGGATAACGTATTGAAACGGATTATACCGCGCCATTGATTTGTGGTCTGTCAAATTTAATTTAATCGCATGGACGATAGAAACTGTTCTGGCAAACAAAACTTTACTCTTTAATATAGGTAATTTTTCACATGTGAAAACTTACTGTGTAGAATTGAGCAGTCCTGTGAGCTTCGAAACATATTAAAAAGTCAATATGGCAATGTTGTGTGTCGTATCCACATTTCCTTATATACAGCCAAGGAGAACAATGACAGTCATATGCATCATAAAATATGAATAGGAGCTTTCTATATGAGTCGGGTTTAATATAGCATATACGTTTGACCCAATACAACTATGTACTCGAAAACATTGTGTGTTTAGTTTTAATGCTTGAATACATTTCGATTGTATATGATTTAATTTGTGACGACCTGGTGAGAAGCAGGAAGTCAATGGGAACAGGTGATTCTGGACTGTACTTTGTGGCATTCCCTGGGTCTTATATTCAGCATTGGACTTGTGATTGTCTGTAGTGATGACGATGAATAAAATTATTTGTATTTAAATAATTTTTTAAAGAGGAGGGGTTAAATTTGAAAATATTAACATCAATTATGAAAGTAACTGTTAAAATTACCTTTTAAAAATATTTACAAGTCAGAAAATAAAGATCATTCATTGCATTTTTCATATATTTCAAGAACACGTGAAGTCCACCAACACGCATTGGAGTAGGGTGACAAAATCTCTACATCTCCCTTTCAGAAATGGGAGGAGGCCAGGGCCTATCAGTCGGACACGTATATAGATTATATGGTATAATCTTCCAGATTATACCATATAATCTTCCAGACCGAAATTCGTTCAAGGCGGTCAGTCTCGACGGAAACTAGCTATCCGTGTAGGACAGAATTATAGTGCCCAAGTGTATGTGCAAGCATAGGTGCACTCTCTACTCACTTACTCTCATAGTTCGGTGGGACGATAATCCGAGGTGACTGGAGATAGATCAGGTTTTTCGTGTTTTCCGCGGCACGGGGTAAAACACCGCACACCTCCTGGCTCCGTGATAATTTCTTGACAGCAAAACTCAGTAACTAATTTCAGCCCGACGCAGGATTTGAAACCGAGTACCTCAAGATCAGAAAGTTCGTTTACGACAACAAGGCATTTTGTTACAATATTGTAAGTACATTTGGCACGAAAAATTTTCAAGCCTAAAGTTTTTTACGCTATGATATTTCATTTATTTAATAAAATAAATTAAATGGTGAAGTAATTATTTTACTAAATGATAAAGTTACTACGGTACAACCACACAATATGTAAGATAAAAAGACATATATACATTTTGAACACGTAATAACAGAGTTTGCCAGTGGCAACATATCTTTCACATTTTACAGGGTAATTAGAATTTCACAACCTTTGTGCAGTCAGCTTTGTATAAAAATACTTAGTCCAGCGTTGCTAAATATGTGTCGACAATAAACACCAAGTCGCTATGAGTGCTTCTCGTAACGACCGCAACGCTGTATTTTTCACTGTAAACCTGAACTCTAAAGACCAACTAGAAACACATCTCGACAGCTGTGCCGTAGAGCTATGAGACACAGTCATAAAATTCACTGGATACGTCATGAATGTTTAAAAAAAACAATAGAATTATTATAAACTCTTGTTGCCTGAAGGTACATGACTAAAGTCGACTAATTTATACACTTTTACTAATAATCGCTGATCAATGCATAAAATTAAATATTAGTTATCTCTATACCTGTCTCTTTCGCCAACGCCACCAATTTGCTCTTAAACGGCAATAAGACAAAATGTATTAAATTTACAATACCTAATGTAAAACATTCGAAAACCAATGTGCTCTTAAATGGGGAGGAGTTGAGTCTTGTGGATACCACTGTTTTTCTCGGTATTATTATTGACGCGAAACTTCAATGGGGCCCCCATATATCTAAATTAGCAAGCAGACTTAGTTCTGCAGCATATGCTGTAAGTAAGATTAGAAGTCTCACAGATGTTGAGACAGCTAGGTTAGTGTATTTTAGTTACTTTCATAGCGTAATGTCTTATGGAATTTTGCTATGGGGTAATGCGACTGATATTGAAGCTATATTTGTTTTGCAAAAGAGAGCCGTACGGGCGATTTATAATCTAAATTGTAAAGAGTCCCTTAGAGAAAAATTTAAAGAAATAAACATATTAACTTTGGCATCGCAATATATTTATGAAAATGTAATGTATGTACATAAAAACATAAATAGCTTTAATAAGAATAAGGATGTTCATACCTTAAACACTAGGAACAAACATAAGCTTGTAATGCCACTTACAAGACTCCACAGAATTAGTAATTCATTTATGGGGCAATGTATACGCTTTTACAACAGAATCCCAGAACATGTTCAAAGTTTGTCAATAAACAAGTTTAAAAGTTTTATTAAAGAAAAACTGTACAAAAAGGGTTATTATAATATCAAGGAATACATGAGTGAAAATAACCCCTGGGAATAAGGTGATCGCCACCATGCTGGTTCTATGAAAATTCATTTAAAATTGTATAATCAAAATTATTGTTAAGTGAAATTATGTTTTAAAAAAAAAGTCCCGCTGGGTTTCTTGCTGGTTCTTCCCAGGACAGGAGGTATTTTCCGAACCAGTGGTAAATAAAATAATGACTTTCAATAAGTATTATGTAATAATCCATATTGAATAAAAATCATTCTATTCTATTCTATTCTATTCTATTTCTATTGTCAATTATTGAAAAGAAAGAAAGCTATTTTAAATATTTCTTAAACTGACTTCGGTTTTTAAAATGACAATATATATATTTAAAAATTTATTTTTTCGCACTTACGGCCATATACAAACTATTATATATACAAACTAATTAATCCCTATTTTATTAAAAATGCTCCAAACAAGATTGTTTTCATAAATAAAGTCCTTGAACACGTTAATAATAATTGCAAGTTTTGAATTATTGCAAATATCTATTATTTTATTATATGAAGATTTCATCGTAATATTGTATACAGGGTATTTTTGGAACGCTCCCGAAAACTAAGACAGGCGACAGCACCAAGTATACCTTTGATCATGGGTTACAAATAAAGTCGATCCTGATGAAAAAAAAATCATCTTTTAACAACGTTTTATTAGCTTTACTCACGCGCCATCATGTTAGTACAGCTAAATGAAACGATAATTTCATAAAAAATATCATGAAAATACTAAAACATAAAACCAGCAGTGGAAACTGAATTGATATCACCTGACTAATGGAGGTTAATGTACGCGCGAACGGTGAAAAACAAACGCTGGCCTTGAACTTGGGCACTGAGCGATTTATCACATATTGGTACGAAAGGCGCGCGACGGGGGAACAATCCGCCAGTATTAGTGTGCCTGCATGCTATTGGTTCCCGCGCTTTGTTCGCTCCAAAAATACAGTCGCATACACAGCTTACTTTGCGACTCGCGACGATGTTTTAAAAAGGAAGGAAAGAAAAATTATTTATATCTATTGTTTTATGACTAAACTAGTGATCGAAAAGGTAAATATGATAGGAGAAGGTGAATGGGGAAAATTGTGCAGTAAAGTTAAAAGTGTGGAGGAAGAATACCGAAAAAATTACCATGTGATCGACCTGATGACGGAAGCTCAAGCGAAGATGAAAGTGATGATCAAGTAGCATCCAGTAACACCAACACACCATTAACATCTGGCTTCCATGTGACCCAAGACGTCATAATGGACGGCGTGTTACCCTTAGCTAAAGTTTTCTTGTTACTAACTACTTTATATTTTACGATAGAAATAACAAATAATGCTCATGTAAACATTATCCATTTTTAATTCCCACCTCTTCCAAAGTTCTAAGTAGCTAGTAAAACACCTATTATGATTCTACATTAAAACAATTAATTACTATAATATTATAAAACAATAGCCCAATACCATGTAGTACTTTAGAACGCGATTGTACCCACACCCCCTCCGCTATCGACCTGTATCTAGCTCGGTACGAAACACGCGGTCGTAAGAAAAAAGGGCGCATCTAACAATTTATGAATAAATGAGTTAAATATACCATTCGATTCATGATAAGAAGGCGCATCTACTAAATTTTTTTAATATTCACAAATATCAATATTTTAGAAATTATCGTAAGAATTTTAGAC